CCTACAAGGCACGCCTCTTGCGACCCCATGTGGGTCCATCCGACAATAGAGAGTTTATAATGGATTAATTCATAAGTATCATTCGCGTTTTTGAATTATTCCCAAGCTTTTTTCTGCATTGTATTTATATTTTACGATTGTGGGTCTGCGAAAATTTGCGAAGGAAGCGGGACTGTGTTGGGTCTGGGTTGCGGTTTAGTAAAAAGCGTAAAGAAGAGTGCACGAGAATGCAGAAAAAAAACAGCGGTCGACACTCAAAATGCTAGGAATTAGTCATCGGAGATTTGCGGTATCGATCGGTACCCAGTGCTGTCAACAGGTGGCTAGCGCCGCCTTCGCTTCGTTGCTCGCTCGCGCGCACGCAGGTTGAACCGTTGAAGTCCGAAACACCCAGTGCTGCCAACCTGACTAGCGCCGCCGTGATTCGGACGCGCGCGGGGGACGGAACGTTCGTGCGATTCGTACTGCGCGCGGCAAGTTGCGCGACGAAATTCATAGCGTTCTGACGACTTTAGCTCCTATTATTAAGGCGAAAATTCGAAGTAGGTCAATAAGATCAGCTGGCCATACTAATCTGCTCTATTTCAAGTTTAGGCCCCGATAATAGGCGCCAAGTCGTTCGAATCGTCACGGATTTCGCCGTGCGCAGTTTGAATGGCACGAATGTACCCATACTCGGACGCGCTCTGTCGGTTGCGTTGTCAACGTCTGAAAGCAGTTATTGATGTGTCTAACTTTATCTTCATTCAGACGAAAGCAGAGAACACCATTTCTGGCAACAGTACGTCCCATCCTAACTGTCGAGCAGAAGCCCTCAGTCCAGCAACAGCTAAACACAAGCGATAGTGGATTGAGTTCTATCATGAAAACAAACTACTACCCACTCTTATCAGGTAAGCACCAATACCATTAGAGGAAAACAAACGTGTTCCAGTAGAGGAAAACAATGAAACAAATAGGGGAATAGAGATTATGAAAATCTAATCATAGGTTTGTAAGTATTAGCACATACTTCTATATGAAAGGTAAGTGGAGTAACGCATATCAAAAAAACGATAAAGCATTTCCCTGTGGCATAAAGCACATGCGATAAATAAAACACGGGAGCCGAGAGACCCATTACAGATAGAAAATCCTGAATGTGCTTGTAGAACGTTAAACTTTCAAAATTACCATTGTGTGCAACTGACCTTCACCGTGCTCTTCTCACTGACTATCTCTCTTGTTGTATGCATAACTAGTATGAAAACGCAAATACCCCAGGCATACGAAGACATTGCTAGAAAAACTGCAAGTCCATTTAAACTGTACGATGCCAAAGGCATTCGTCTTAGGCGCAGTTTTGGTGGAATGGTGATCTTTGCAGAGGAAGCCTGAACGAAACGCTTGACCCGAAGAATATATCAAGACAGAAAACTTCTAAGTTTTTTTATTGCAAATCAACCTCGATAAAGAGACAATCAATACAATACTGAATTGACAGAAAAGCCGATGACCAATATGGAGGTTCATAAGGTACCCTGAACAGAAAAAATTATGAGAAACGCATCGGTCGCTTTTTTATATCCCCTGCTATCGCTCTCCTCTTCCTAAGCTGTGGTGTTCAAACTGTAGTTAGACCTGAGTTTTGTAAACTGCTACGTACGTAAGCGATACATCCCTTGAAAGACTCTGATTACTAGAATGCGGTATCCCTCGATTGTAGCAAAACTCGAATTCTCTCAATGGATTAGCGATCAAAACGACAGATGCTGAGTGTGTAACATGGTTCTGAATAAAGTTAGCTTAGGCTGGTTTGTAAAAACACTCCCACCTTGGGAATAAGCCATGAAAATGAACACAGGTGTAGCTATTTGGACTCACAAATACTTATAGATGAAGGTGAAATATTCACCAAGATGTATAATAAGACAGATAGCCTTGAATTCCTAGTCGAGCGTTTCCCACACTATACTACCAAGGTTCCGAAGGGTACCATAATTAGCAAAATGTATCCGGAAATATTAAGAACTGCCAGGACGTGTACATATAAGGATGATTTTTTGGATAGACTTAGGTACATGGGACTTCAAGCATGCCAAATAAGTTATACTAAGGACTTTTTTATTACGGGTCTTGTAAAATGTATAGCTAGAAATAAGTTTATGACCCACCCACTCAAGCTATAAACCACTCATTAGAATCCTACTTTATATAATTCGCTAAGTGTGTCTGTTGGTGTGTCGGTGTGTTTGTGTGTGTGTTTGTTTGTGTGTGTGTGTGTCGGTGTGTGTGTCTGACCGGAAATTCATAACTCCTGTCCCCATGGACCTAGAGCGTTCAAATTTGGTAGGAGTAAGGGGGCAGGATGGGAACACCTATGGTAGGTGGCAGGACCGGACTCCATTCACAGGGAGCGCGGCGTGCGCGTTAGAAATTTTGGGCCGCAAATTCATAACTCCTGTTCTCGTGGACTTAGAAAACTCAAATTTGGCAGGAGTACAGGGGGCAACATGGGAACACTTATGACAGGTGGTAGGAGCAGACTCCACCCGCGGGGGCAGGTTGTGCGCGATAGAAATTTTGGGTCGCAAAATCGTAACTCCTGCTCCAGTGGGCCCAAAGCGTTCAAAATTGGTAGGAGTACAGGGGGGCGGTATGGGAACACTTATGGTGGGTGGCAGGATCGGACTCCATGCACAGGGAGCGGGGCGTGCGCGATAGTTTTTGGGCCGCAAATTCATAACTACTGTTTACGTGGACCTAGAGCGTTAAAATTTGGTAGGATCACACTTTTCGTATTACCAGTGGAACCTCAGCATTTTAATAGGTGTTGTAAGATAAGACGGGATCGTAGGTACTCGGTGACAGGAGCTGATGATAACTGATAAGAGAAGATAAAGGACCTAGGAGTGCCACCTACCGATCGAAATCCTAATATCTTCGGTATCTACGATGTAGCTTTGACCGTTTAATATGTTTCATTCGATAAGACGAGATGGTAGAGCAGGGTGACAAAAGTGAGTGTTGGGTGCAGCGGTAGGGGCCATTAGGGCAATACGGTAAGCAGATTAGAATTTTGTTCATTTCTTACTATTAGATTACGACCGCTACCCAGCAAAGTTTGTGATTCAATGAAGGGTCCTCTTTGCTCAATGTTATTTGCGACAAAACTTATTCGACCGCCTGTAATCTAGAATTCTCAACAAATGATATCTCCGTAAGGAAAAGGGTCCATTAATAAAAAATATCTGATAACGATGCTATCGTCACTCAGAACATCTCCACAGCATCATCTTTGATTGTCTAACAGTTGGATTTTTGATGGGTATTTATTGCAAAGATAGAGAGAAAAAGTTTGAGACTTCCAATCGAAGGCGTAAGCACGGACTTCAGCTGAATACCATTTGCACTGACCTGTTAGTCCTGTGTCAAATTTCCTATACAGGAGAATGCCATTTGTTCCAAAAAAGGAGTGGAGAATTAGTTTTACTACAACTATCAAAGAAAGAGGGAAGCTTTTTATTTCTGTTGTGTCAAAGAAGGACTTCGAGCTCTGTTTCAGTTTCACAGCCTCACTCAGCTAAACACGGAAAAATCTTAAAGACTGTAAACTTTGAAAAATGGAATAAAATTCCTCAGTTCAACATTTCTCGAGATAGGGTGTTTGACACAAGAAGGAGGAGAGCCTGGCGTTAGCCGCGCGATCCGACTGGTTTTAGAACATATTATGATACTATCTGTTGAATAACCACTTGATTTCCAGCAAGTATAAGTTCATTATTCACTTAACATCACCTTACTACTCTTACTAACTTATTCCCTTCCCAAGTTTTTCCTAATTTTCGCAACCATATTACCTTTCATAACCTACTTGTCTTAACTTCTTTCCTTGTAACGTTTAACAATGGGTATTGCCGCTACCATTGTCTACTGTACATTTATATGTCTATCCAACACTTCTTAACTTATTTATTATTATATAAAGTGATCATAAGTTTCTGTTCTCCCTTACCCTACTGAAGAGCACGGAGGGAGAGTATTGTAAAGTTCGACTTCCGTCTAGGGCATGTGCGAAACGGAAGTTGAACTACTTCTTTGCTTTGTTCCCCCTTATAATTTTTAATACTTTGTCATAATATTATCGTTCGTAATAATTTATTACTTTGCACCTCTACTCATTCGCCGTGGGGTACACAGACAAAATCGACCGAGAGCTGACCTCTCTTGCTGAACTAATTTCAATTCCAATATTATAAATTCAATTACACTTAGAAGTATGAGGGAAAACTTCGAAAACCTCAAGTGGACATAAAATGTGCAGCAGAATAAGACGTCAAATCAAAACAACGAATATGACAATGAAAAATTCACAGCGGTATAGACACGGTCACCTGACCTGCAGGCACACTATACGCATTTCAAGACGAGACAGATCTGGTTTTTTTCTCACGACTTTTGCTATTTTATAACGCGAATCGTACTACTATCAATAATAATGTCCCTCATTCATAAATTCAATATATGGCTCATTGTTGGTTTGACATAGTGTAGGAACTAACAAATCATGCGAGGACAGCTTAGGCGATTGAGCAGAATCGCGACAAACCTGGTTTGAAACTAACAATAAGGCCCTCTCCCAAAGACGCTGCGCCCTAGAAAAGCTAGTAAAGGACGCCATGTCAAAGTGGCATAGAGCATTACTTTAGATCTGGATATCTCAAAGATGCCATTGATGGATGTGCGAGATGCATTGAGCAAGGCGACAGGTTACTTCAAAGATAGAGGTGCTAGAAGTTCTCTGCTAGTGTTAGAAGTTCTGGGAATCCAGTCATCCCACCCGCCTTTATGTTCCCATCCTGCTTCCTATCGTACGATGTTTAAAGGCCCTACGGCTAAATTGACAATTTTGGCGCAATCCACACCCCTGTTGGAGGTGAAAAGATTTTGTCCTTTGTCGTCAAATAGACTTAAATAGTGTGGAATACGCTTCAGTTATACATATCAAAATTTCGCGCGATTTGTTCCACTAAGAAAAAAGGTACGAACGAAAGAACGTGCAACTCTATATACAGACAGTTCGGAACACGCCCACCAAAAAACTTAGTTTCTATTCCGTACACATCGCTTTCAAGAGTAAGAATCAAGATTTCCGAGATTTCATGTAAAAAGGCTTCAGATTCAATATATCACTGGATTTCTAAGAGGTCACCAAAGCAGTGACGAAATCCTACTTTCTATAATTCGCTATTCTGTGTATGTGTGTCGGTGTGTGTTCGTACTAGCAGTGGAAGCTCGCATTTTGATAAGTGACGTAGGATATGACGGGATCGTAGATACTCAGTGACAGGAACTGATAATAACTGACAAGAGAAGATAAGAGGCCTTAAGAGGGCAAAAGCTACCTATCGATCAAAACTCTGACCCTTCGGCATTTACGATGTAGCTTTGACCGTTCAGTATGTTTCATTCGATAAGACGGGAAGGTAGAGTAGGGTGAGAAAAGTGAGTGGTAAGTGCAGCGATAGGGACTCATTAGCTGCACTACGATGAGCAGATGAGTTTTGTTCATTTCTTGCTACTAGATTACGACCGCTACTCAGCAAGGTTTGTGACTTAATGGAGGATCCTCTTTGTTCGATATCATTTGCAACAACACTTAACCGAGCGCCAGTAATTTTAAATCCCCGATTAATGATATCTCCGTAAAGAGAAGGGTCCATTGATGACGACACCTGATAATTATGTTTTCACCGCTCGAACCATTCGTAAGTACCGCCAAAGGCTTTGGTTGTTTAACAGTCGGGTCTTTAATGGGTATTTACTTTTTATAACAAGAGCAAAAGATCGAGACTTCCAATTTAGGGAGAAAGCATCGACTTACGCTTACCATCTGTACTGCCCTGTTGGTCCTGCTTCAAAGTTCGTGTATAGGAAACTTATATTTGTTTCAAAAAAGGAGTGGAGAGTTAGTAGATAACTGCAACTCCGTCAAAGAAGGAGGGAAACCCGGCATTAGACGGGCGAAATGACCGGTAAATAAATAAAACATTAACTTTCATATTTACCTGAACCACTTGTTGGTAGAATCATCATCGAGATCAAATGGATAACCCCACTCCTCATTCCAATAACGATCATTATGACCAGTGCCAGCGGGTACGAGCAGTTTGTAATCGAGCTTACCAGCTTTTGTGTTAAATTGGTTGAATACCAGACCGCCTGCGAATCTGAAATCCATTCACTATCACAAATTAGTGACAGTTATTGAGAAATTCCTTTTCTGAGCCTCGTGCCCTGAAGCAATGACGATTCAGTGGACCGCTCTGGCTCGTTACGGTGACGAATGGAAACATAAGAAGCGCTCGTTCTAGAATCGATGATCAACGGAACAACAGGTAATACAGTTGATTGAGAAATTCACGTAAAGTTGGAAAAGCAGCGAATATATCAGGACTAACTTATCGATGGCGCAACCACTATCGGGAGGGTCTGCACGAAGTTCATCAAGCAAATGCGCTTCGTCTTTTATATACACCACGTTTACTTTTATGAAAGAGCTGCTGAATCGAGCGGCCAGTTCCTTCATCATATCCTCCACGGAATCACGATTTTCATTTGTGCTGAATTAAAGTGTATCATCGAGCATGTGGATGGAGGAATGGTAAAAGTAAGCTCTAAGTCAACGAATTCATCACAGTAGCCTACTAGGGCTAGTTATTCTTTTCACAGCTGGTTTTCTGTTCTCCGAATATGTGCTAATCTAAATGAATTGCTCAGGTTGAATCATAGAAATCAAGCTTAGTAAATGGATCTTTCATTAAGCAAGGAAAAAAATGTAAACTTACGAATAAGCTATAAGTACATATCGACGACCGCACCAACGCGACGGTATGGATTCGAACTGGTCAAAACTAAAGTCCTCTGCTCCACCTTCCAAAGGCACAGACTCTGACGACCTACTTGGTGTCAAATGCACGGTGCCACCCTGAAGAAGACGCTATTTCGAAAGCAAAACTTATATCAGTCTACTGAACAGTAAGTTGGACTCCAATTAGTTTTTGTTGAACAGCTGGTTGAAGGACGCTATTTACACTTAATGCACCAGCTGTGAACCGAAGTTTTTATTGGAATCCATTCAAGAATAAACACTGGTTCATTGGAAAAGTACAATCATCAATAATAAACAAAATTTGAATTAGACAAACATGAACTGACCCTCACAACGAGCAATGTGACCGGAAGAAGGGATATAATAGGTAGAATCATTTCGAACAACGTCCATACTTTATTACGTCGAGTAAGAATCAGATTCTTTCGTGTCAGCAGCCATAATTGTCGCAAACTGTCACACATGCTGCTGACTGAAAGCTGTCGCTATACCAGCCCCCGAAAAAGTCTCAGTACACAATAAGCATAAAACAGAATATAAGTGATTTGAAAGTGAGAAGCTCGAGAAGAATGACGACAACTGTAGGAAAAAGGTAAATCAACCGTGACGTGGGACGTGACGTCTATACACCGTTTCGTCCAAGTTGGAAAAACGTGGACGAAACGGTGTATAGACGAAGGCTAATAATGCATCCAACTACGAATAGATAGCAAAACAGTAAAAATAAAGACTTATTTGTTAAACTAAACACCAAAAAATACAAACAAACACAAAATAATTTCCAAGCATTACCGTTCTACATTGGCTGCGTTCATACTTCAACGTGCGTGCCGGAATGCAGGTGGAATCGCAGGTACAATCTTGCGCGCGACGTGGGAGCGGCAGCGACGGCGGCGCTACCCAGGTGCGTGACAGTAGTCATCCTCGACTTGCGATGTTAGTGCTGTCACAGGCTACTTTCGGAGTTCGACGACCGTCCGTCCGTCCGACCGTCCGACGCGTGCGTGCTGCGACCGTGGCGCCTGACCGCTGTTGCCAAGACTAGATCACGTGCCAGCGCTGCCAGCACTACTCTAGCGACCGTCGTCGCGGCACGCACGGACGGACGGACGGACGGATGGACGGACGGTCGTCGAGGTCTGAAAGCGGTCACACAGTTGCGTAGCGCCGCCGTCGTACGCAGAATGGTACCTGCGATTCCGGCGCGCACGTCAAAGTATGAAAGCAGCCATTAAGAGCATAAGAATCGAGGTAACAACGTTGAGTTTTTTTGTTCATCTTTGTAAACACTGAACAGATTAAACTTCAATTTTGTCATACGTCTAGGATGACGTGTGTAGGACCCAATATAAACCCCTTCCCAGACAAAGTAATGTAGCAATCCAATCTAACTATATTGCATTATGAAATGATAAAACAAGTTCGCAACACCTACCCAACAGCATACTCTTTAGGAAACAACGAACATCGTCCTGAACAAACTCAGAAAGAACGATCGCTCAAGCAAGGATGAAGAGGGGAAGAACGCCAAAAACAGGAGAACAGTTGGTACAGCTGGACGGTATATGCGGTAAACTTATAACAAATGATTTAAGGCAACATGGAGCCCGTCCAGCTTGCTGGTACCACATAAATGCTGAAAAAACTAAGCAGCTCAAGGAATTGGAAGGAATGTTCAGGAGAGGTTTGTGAGTTCTCCATAACAAAACTTTCTGAATGAATAATGTGGAGATGACCCGTTATGACGTGGGTATTGTAAAAATGCCAGGGCATTTAAGAAATAAAGCTCACTAAAAAAATAAGTACCCTCCAACTTCTCTCTTGTTTGAACCTCGGCATTTTCGTTTACGTTGTTAGAATTTTTCTTCGAGGTTTTTAGGTGGAACACCTTATTAAGTTAACTTTTCGGCGAAGTCGTCGTCTTCAGAGCCCTAAACGCAATTCGAGAAGTGTTACAATGCCGATAGCGTTTGCTCTTAAGCGAAAAACGACCGAAACTCGTCGGGAAACTATCCACTTCATGAAACACCGGGTTCCACCGTCAAAGTCGATAGAATGCGCTGTCGTCACAGGCGACTGTCAGTAGCG